TTTTTGCTTAATTGCAGGAAGTTCAACAAGAAGATTTCTGTGTCATATACAAATCTACAGTTAGCCCATGGTCTGGCGACCAGCGACTAAACTAGCTCAGCCTACCTGTTTGTTTCCAGACAGTGTAGGTGGGTTGGTAGACAGCCTGTAGAACCACAAGTAATATCTGCAAAGTGCGGACGAACTCCTAATGAGTCACTGACCATCTACCAAATTGCAAAGGTGTCCTGACTTGTGTCTTGCGTGTCTTGTGAAATAGTTAAATAAGACCTGAGAAGTTGCTCTTGTTGGAATCTCACAGCACGAGTCTGAGAAGATGTAATGAATAAACACAAAACCTTGTCCTAAGTTTAGCCATCAGCCCACGATACAGAGCAGAACACATGGAATCATGGAACACAAAGCTCGTCTCAGACTGTTTATAAGGCCCACAGATTTTCAGCAGGATGTGTTTGGATTTCCACTAATGCCATTCACTTCTCCGGTTTCTGTGTTTCTTGCATAATAGTGAAGAATGCCTCGTTTCCGGTTGACCCACATGGTGTGCTCTGATGTAATCCTGTGACTTTCTCAAGTTCAAACTGAATGACATGAACTTTTCCTCTCACTTCTATCTCAGCATGATAAGCTTGAGATATGACCTCATTCTGTTCCTGTGGCTATAACGAGGCTTTCATAACACCAGCACACTCAGAATATACAGCCAGTTATTGCAAATATGGCAATGCGAGTCATCACTTGTATCTTCCTAATTATGTTATTACTAAAGAAGTAAAAGTTATTTGCTGCATTAGGAAGCCACACCTTGCTAGTGTAGCAATGCACGAGACTTTCCAAAGTTATGTAATGAGATAAATGATGTAACTTTGCAGCAACCTGGCTGCAAAGGCTCACATGAGCTGTTGAATTTGTATAAACTCTGATGTGTAATAAGAGCGGTCTCTTACCCTGCGGTTGGTAAACACAGTGTAGCACTCCTTCACCATCACAGCTTTAATAATGTCAGGATCTGTCACCATGAAAGACGGCGTTCGTCCGTCGTACACCCTGCACAAACACGACACAAAAAAAATCTGAGCTGCTGACATTAAACATATTTCATAAAGCATTCATGTCAGAATGAACTATGATTTAGAAATATAAAATAGGTTGATTATGTAATTTTATTGACATGTGCAGGCAATAAAATGACATAAAACCCAACCTGCTTATCATAGTAATGTTTTATTACCATGTCATTAAATCAAACAAGTTCAGCCTTTATATGTCAGAGTTCATCACATCCTGTAGTGGCGAGAAGTAACGTTTAATTTCACCATTTCAGCTACTTGTGATTCTACTTCACTAGAATTCAGAGGAAAATCATCAAATACAGTTATTTTACAGTTATGGTTACTGGTATGTTTCCAGATTAACATCTGACACTGACATAATGCATCATTCAAGACAGTGTCCAACCTGTTTGGCTCGTCATGTCATCTCTTCAGTAAAACACAGATTCCTGCTTTTATCAAGTCAGAATTTTCTAAACTATTTCTGCTATATATATGAAGAGTCCATTTGCAAAAACATATTTTTTGTAGATTTTCAGAAAACGTTTTTTTTTGGTTATTTGCTTGAGATAAAATCAATCAAAGTGAAGCTGAGTGGATTTGACTCAGTGGAAATGACAGAAATAGAGATAACTGAAGTTTGATTGATATTGTCTCAGGTAGACGATGGAAAAGTGGGTTTTCTGAAGGTTTGTGACGATGGAGTTATCTGTAAATGAACTCTTCATATATGTATATCACCACAATAAAGGATGACAATCTTCTAACAGACTGCTTTACATGCATTTTGTCTACGTGTCATGTACTTTCACTTGATTTTCCTCCATCACTCATGATGAAAACAGCAAAGCAACAACAAGACCTTACAGTATTCTAGTAGAGACAGAAATCTAATGATTCCCTTTGAGCACTTAACATGCAAGCATAAATTTAAACTACCTCCAACACAGTGAGATAAAACAGCAAAATCCTGCTTACACATTGATGCATTTGCAATCTAATCATCTGCAGAATAAATACTTTTCCACTGTTTTACTCACCCCCAGACGTCTCCATACTTGGCCTGGCACTCCCGGTCAAAAGCGTGTATTCCCTACAAGAAACGTGTTTTATTGTTAAAGGCTTGAAGAACAGGTACAGTCAAATAGGTCAGGCAGGTTACTGACTCTGATTAATCATGTTTTTATGCTCACCTTTCTGGCGTTATGCATTGTTCCAATAAACGGCAGCGGTCTCGGTCCTTTTACTCCCAGCTTTGAGAAAAACCTGTATGGCCAAACTCCATACCTGTTTGTTTTTTTTTGCAGAATAGAGAACGTTATAGATTAATATTACAACAAGTTGCTGTACTTTTTTTTTATTATTATTATTTCTTCTTACTATAACGAGACAGTACAAAGAAAACGACAAAACAGATACTCACAGTAACACCAGGGCGAAAAGAAGAGCCAGTAAAGTCCATGTTGTTGCTGAAAACAAGTCGAAAAACATCTTGACGTTTCTGCCACACAGCTGGACAACAAATACACAAGAAACGAGGAAGTGTCCTTATATGCTCCCTGCAGTAGGAGGAGTCCACAGACAGGAGAACAGAAACGCTGCGTATGTAGTCCGGGTCGGAAGCGGTCGGAACCATGTTTTTTTTTAATGTTACGCACTGTTGCTGCTGTGTAGGTTTGCGCAATATATAATCTAATTAATACGCGAATAAATAAGTAGATTGGTAATATTTGCATCCCATTCTCTGATAACATAATTTGTCTGTTTTGCCACCAAGCTGATTCTTTAGAAAAATAATAGAAATATCAAGCTTTAAAAAAAAGTATTATTATAATAACTAATAACAGTCAGTTTCATTTTTCTTTCTTTCTTTTTTTGTTAAAAAATAAATTTAAAAAAAAAATAGCAAAACCATTGTCTTGAGTTGACGCAATGATGGGGTACTTTCAAGTGCATTTAAGCGCAATAAATACACAAATATGCAAGGAGCGGCTGCATGAAGAAGATTCCCTCTTGTAGCCTCATTTAAATGCCAGCTCTATTTTAATCCATACAGTAATAATTTCACATTAATACTGTGATGTACTATAAACTCTTGCCAAAGAAAAACTGACAATAATCTAAGTTTTTGGCTTGTTTTTTTGGAATGCGGTTGGTTTGGATGGTGTTTGGCGCTTCTCGGACACCGTAGAAAACCCGGAAAAACAATGATGCAACTCCGTGGCTAGCTGCCTCTCACACATCCTCAGCGTCTTTATAAGGTAATTCTCCGCATGCGAAAGTCAGCTCTTGTTAGAAGAAAAGCTAAAGAGGTAGTATGTGGCTTATAGTTTTATTTCTGTCGTGAGGTTACTTTGGTAAAGTTAATAAATGCTGCTGCACACTCGCTGTGTGTTAGTTGACGCTTTTTCAACCACATTTAGAGGCAAGTTTAGACTCAGTGATGTGACATTTGAATCCTTTTTAATTACACTCGTCTTCACTTGTTCGTCTGTGATTGACTTTTGACCTCTTGATGAAGGCTAGCTCCAGTTTGTAGCTGTCATGTGTTATCAGCAGTAGTCTGTAGTTTGGGGCACAGCAGAACAATCTAACATGCTAAAAATAAAAATGAGTAAGTGACTGTTTAGTAGCTGTGTTTCCCCTGATACGACCTTTACAGTGTGCCTGAAGAATGACTAAACCCCTGTGCAATATCAATTCAATGTCAACACTGACTCATGACTATAAGTTTTACTGTAATGGCATTATTTCCAAGTTGAACTGTGGAGTATCTGCAAACAGTTTAGCTTAACTATTTTAATAATACAACAGCAGAAACTACAGTCACATACCTGTTTTCTCTCAAATAAAACAGAGACGGTGTTAAAGGAACACAAAAAACAAACAACCCCCAAAACATTTCACCTGAAACCGGCATATTTATCTGATTTGGAGTAAAAGGATTAAACTCAATGTGTTATTAGCTTCATTTTAATTGTGTAAATTTTATTTTTAATACACAGACTGCCATGTTAATGATGGCACCATAACAAAATGCTCAAACACAGTAAAACTTCAGTTTGTACTGTAAGTTTTCCAGCAACTTTGTTAGCTTCAGGTGGATTTGTGCTGTCATGTCATCATTTCTGTCTACTGCCGAACACACAGTATATCATCGACTCATTTCACATTTGAAACATTTCAATAAAGATTGCTTTCATTTTTTTTAAGTCAGCATCTCTCACCTTCATTCTTTGTATTTATTCTAACAATAACTATCCTATGAAATGTTTTTGTACCACTGGTATGAGCTATGGATGCAGATTCCTCCATCTTTCCAACCCCCCAAGATGACATTAGCTGTTTGACAGTCAGGGCTGCATGGTCATTTCGCAGCTAGAAGATAGCTGGTTCATGTCCCGGTGAGGACACCTGGGATCTTTCTGTGTGGAGTTTGGATGTTCTCCCCGTGCAGCGTGGGTTCTCTTCAGGTTCTCCGGCTTCCTCCCACAGTNTGCTTACAGATTCGTCTTCCTTATGCTGGTCTTTGAACTTCTTGATGAGGTTGTAGAAAAAAGCCACACTGGCACTGGCCATCATTTCAATTTTGAGAAAATCCAGCAGACGAGCACCAAACGGAAACATCACTGAAAGGAGAACAAATAGTTGTGAACTAATATTTGTGTGCTTCTGTCACCATGTGATCAAATGAGCCATGCCTTACTCATTATAGATGAAAGGAGGACGTACTTATTAGAAGAAAAGGCCAGAATCTGAAATTAAGAATCTTCTGCATATGAACATTGACGGGGTCGTCTGGGTTGTTGATGGAGTCTGTCTCCACACTGAAAGATGCACTGGTCACCGCGTCTAAGCTGTAAGGAGCCATAAGTCTGTACAATGTGGAAAAGAAAGATGGGTTTGGATTAAGAGCAACAACATGTACGTATTTCAGGGCGCTCAATGCAACAATATGCTGTTAAAGACAGACCAACAACATACTTTTTGATTTCGATGGACTCGTCCAAATTTGTGCGTCCAAGTTTTTCAACAAGTCGGTCTGCATAGCGAGCTACAAGAGGATAAGCCTTCAACAGAGTGGACAGAAAAGGAAAGTGAGTTAAGTTTCCTTTCTTGCTTTTTCTCATGATTGCAGATTGCAGGTGATGGAGTCAGAAGTTGTTCATGACACCAACCTGTTTGAGTCTCCCACTGGTGAAGCACGGAGATATTGTGCTCCGAATTCGTTTCCACTTTTCGTCTTTCACTGATGTGACGGCATCATCCAAAGGTCCAGCAGATACAATAGGATCCTGTGAAGAGAGCGAATGTTTGGAACCCGGCATAGACGTAGTGTGGTTTTCTTCCTCCAATATTTCTCATCTCAACCAACACAGCCAATGACATCTGCTGAATCATGTCACTTCCTAGAACACCTTTCTACCTGTCTTGTCTCACAGGTGATCCATGCACTGGGCGTATTCATAGTGAATTTCACTTCTGTGAATTAATGCACACCAGTCAAAGAAACCTTGTGACTAAATGAGGGAACATATCTCAAGCATGGTGACATGAAACATAAGTAATCCAGAAAAACATGTGCACCAGTACTTCTTTGGTCGTGGCAGGATCAATATCTGTGAGGAAATGCCTTTTTGCTTAATTGCAGGAAGTTCAACAAGAAGATTTCTGTGTCATATACAAATCTACAGTTAGCCCATGGTCTGGCGACCAGCGACTAAACTAGCTCAGCCTACCTGTTTGTTTCCAGACAGTGTAGGTGGGTTGGTAGACAGCCTGTAGAACCACAAGTAATATCTGCAAAGTGCGGACGAACTCCTAATGAGTCACTGACCATCTACCAAATTGCAAAGGTGTCCTGACTTGTGTCTTGCGTGTCTTGTGAAATAGTTAAATAAGACCTGAGAAGTTGCTCTTGTTGGAATCTCACAGCACGAGTCTGAGAAGATGTAATGAATAAACACAAAACCTTGTCCTAAGTTTAGCCATCAGCCCACGATACAGAGCAGAACACATGGAATCATGGAACACAAAGCTCGTCTCAGACTGTTTATAAGGCCCACAGATTTTCAGCAGGATGTGTTTGGATTTCCACTAATGCCATTCACTTCTCCGGTTTCTGTGTTTCTTGCATAATAGTGAAGAATGCCTCGTTTCCGGTTGACCCACATGGTGTGCTCTGATGTAATCCTGTGACTTTCTCAAGTTCAAACTGAATGACATGAACTTTTCCTCTCACTTCTATCTCAGCATGATAAGCTTGAGATATGACCTCATTCTGTTCCTGTGGCTATAACGAGGCTTTCATAACACCAGCACACTCAGAATATACAGCCAGTTATTGCAAATATGGCAATGCGAGTCATCACTTGTATCTTCCTAATTATGTTATTACTAAAGAAGTAAAAGTTATTTGCTGCATTAGGAAGCCACACCTTGCTAGTGTAGCAATGCACGAGACTTTCCAAAGTTATGTAATGAGATAAATGACGTAACTTTGCAGCAACCTGGCTGCAAAGGCTCACATGAGCTGTTGAATTTGTATAAACTCTGATGTGTAATAAGAGCGGTCTCTTACCCTGCGGTTGGTAAACACAGTGTAGCACTCCTTCACCATCACAGCTTTAATAATGTCAGGATCTGTCACCATGAAAGACGGCGTTCGTCCGTCGTACACCCTGCACAAACACGACACAAAAAAAATCTGAGCTGCTGACATTAAACATATTTCATAAAGCATTCATGTCAGAATGAACTATGATTTAGAAATATAAAATAGGTTGATTATGTAATTTTATTGACATGTGCAGGCAATAAAATGACATAAAACCCAACCTGCTTATCATAGTAATGTTTTATTACCATGTCATTAAATCAAACAAGTTCAGCCTTTATATGTCAGAGTTCATCACATCCTGTAGTGGCGAGAAGTAACGTTTAATTTCACCATTTCAGCTACTTGTGATTCTACTTCACTAGAATTCAGAGGAAAATCATCAAATACAGTTATTTTACAGTTATGGTTACTGGTATGTTTCCAGATTAACATCTGACACTGACATAATGCATCATTCAAGACAGTGTCCAACCTGTTTGGCTCGTCATGTCATCTCTTCAGTAAAACACAGATTCCTGCTTTTATCAAGTCAGAATTTTCTAAACTATTTCTGCTATATATATGAAGAGTCCATTTGCAAAAACATATTTTTTGTAGATTTTCAGAAAACGTTTTTTTTTGGTTATTTGCTTGAGATAAAATCAATCAAAGTGAAGCTGAGTGGATTTGACTCAGTGGAAATGACAGAAATAGAGATAACTGAAGTTTGATTGATATTGTCTCAGGTAGACGATGGAAAAGTGGGTTTTCTGAAGGTTTGTGACGATGGAGTTATCTGTAAATGAACTCTTCATATATGTATATCACCACAATGAAGGATGACAATCTTCTAACAGACTGCTTTACATGCATTTTGTCTACGTGTCATGTACTTTCACTTGATTTTCCTCCATCACTCATGATGAAAACAGCAAAGCAACAACAAGACCTTACAGTATTCTAGNTCCTCGTAGGAAATGGAAGCCTAGAGGCCAAAAGTTAAAGGATAAGGATGGTGTCAGTTATTGAATCACAAATAGTAAACAAATCTCGTGCAGAGTTACTGTACATCTTTCTGCAGGCTGGCGTCAATTTCTTTATGCAGCTTCTGCATCGCATCAGGGTTCATGGCCAGATTGTAGAAGATGTAAGAGAGAGTGACACTGGTGGTATCATAGCCACCGAAGATGAAGACTAAGGCCTGGGAGAGGATCTCGTGTTCAGTCAAACCTACAAAGAAATTAGCAATAACAATGGTCAGCTACCAGACCTATCAATTAATTAATTATGCCGTGTGTCTTCTCTCTCCTGTAGTTTGTGCTGTCTCTTGTCTGCAGGTATTTCTGACTCTGGAGGTGCACAGCTATGATCTGTGGTTGTTGGTGCCAGTAATCTGTCCATTGTTTTTGTTCTCTTAGATCAGTGAGACGCGGTACAATGCGCTGTGTAAAACCATCTTGATAGAAACATACCTTTACTGGGCTGTTCGTGTTCACTCTTTATCTCTGACTCTGGTATCTCGTTCTGAATCAACACCTGCAGAAAGTCTCCTCGAATCTGGATCAGCACAGAGAACCATTAGCTTTGACAAACTTGCTGTTCTCTTAAAATGTCTGCAATATTATTTAAATGAAAGAAGACAGGATGGAAGTTTAAAAACTTTGTCATGACATGGATCCTTACTGGCCTGCAGTATATAAGGGGTTAGTGAATGGAATCCACTTATTCCTTTACCTGCTAAGATTTCTGTGTAATGCAAAGTTAAGTGCAATGGGTTAGCTTAGCTTAGTTTAGCATAAAGACTGGAAGTGAATGACAGCTCATCTGAGGTGAAGAAAAGTACACAGTGTGACTTTCCTTCCGATCCTGATTGATCCCATCTCCATGTTGGGGAACTGCTAATTGATGAAGCTGCTGCTGTTGTTCCATGTGTAAATGTGCGCATCTCTCTCGCTTTGGAGACACTTGTGGATTCTACGGCTGTATAAATATTTAATACACTCAGGGGAAATAGTCTTAAACAGCTGGAAGCAACACACTAAGCTGTGTGAAGGCTCACCTGTCAGCTAAATTTTCTCCGAAAAAAAAAGTAATGATAGGCAGCAAAATGCTAAATGGATCTGATAATCGGCCAAATCTAGAATCAGTCTACTCCGAGTAAGATGCCTATGATAAGCCGCTTTGCATGACCTCCTGCTCTACCATTAGATACCCTGAATAAATATGAAATATTTGAGCATGCAACGACTAGTCAACGAGATTTTACTTATATATATCACAGCTGGAAAAATGTGTGACCTTGTCTGATTATACTTTCACTTGGTATCGAAATGAAATCAGTGACAAAGTATTAATGAAATGACTCAGTTGATTACCAAATTTTGAGCGAACCTACTGCTGTCCCAAACTTCAAATTTAACAGAAAGACATTTCTTGCAGGCAGATTTCTAACTTGCCAAGGAAGAAAGAAAAAGCACTCACAGATTCCTCAGATTTATGCTCGTCTTTGAACTTCTTGATGAGGTTGTAGAAAAAATCCACACTGAGTCTGGGCATC